GTTCTACTGACGTGTTTTCTAGCGGTTCTAATGTCTGAATTTTGTGGATTAATACCACCAGCCACGAAAATTTAAGAATTCTTGAAAAACAAAAATGATTTTAAAGGTCCAACAACGCCGTCACTTTCCCATGGTATTGGCAGCCAAAATGAGGAAAACAGTTCAGATTCACTGGCAAATACAACAGTCAACCTGCCGCTAACAGTGGATCCTCTATTGGCTGCAGGTTTGTTTCTGGAGCTTTAAGATTTTTAAGTAATTGTATGAATCCTGAATTGGCTGTCGGGTTTATTTAACTCTTATTCCAGGCAATCCTTCGCAACCATTACCGCGGCGACATCTTGGTGAACCGTTCGATCAGCGCCTCAAAATTCGGTGGAATAATTTTGTGACGACAGTTGAGAGTCGCTCGATAATCGCATGCGGTTATCCAGACTACAGCTTTCGTGTTATTGACACGGACACTGGTACCGATTTGCTCACTACTTTAGAATTTGGGAGGATAACGAGTTGGGATCAGCTAATGTCCAACTTGCATATTGCAGCCAAAGTGCGGCAGGTGATATACGGGCATGGGGATGTTGTAACGTGCTTAGCGCGCTCAGAATCCAATCTGTTCGCTGATTGTTATGTGGCCTCTGGAAGTCTCGATTGCACTGTGGTTCTGTGGCACTGGAACGCCCAAACACAGTCAATCGCTGGCGAGTACAATGTTCCAGGTTTGCCAAGTGATTTCTGTCGCCACTTTTCGTATTCCATCCTAAGCAGCTTTTGCATTTCTGTTTAGGTGAAGTGGCGGCTCCTCGCGCGATCCTGACAGGTCATGAAACCGTCGTAACAGTGATATGTATTTCCGCTGAACATGGCCTTGTTGTTTCCGGATCGAAAGGTGACAGTCTGTCGAAATTAATTTGTCACGATCAACTTCTTTTTTCTACCCTTGCTTTTCGTAGCTCTCGAATAAGAACTGGAGTTTTCTTGCTTTATCGCAGTTTACTTGGAATATTATGAGCGGGGCAACCTCTCCTTTTCTGTACAATCATCATAATGGATTAAAATTTATATAAGGCGGTCAGACAAGTCGATGCCAGATATGATTCATGCGTTAAATGTAACGTGATAAAAAATCCAGGCTAGAACGCACCAGGCGGTCATGCGTTTTTGCACCAAACTTGAAGTAATTAGGTTAACTGCATGAGCGGTTGTTTCTTCACATCTACCTTATGCGCTTAATACAGTTAAATCATCGTAAATTTTGCATGGAAGGAAATAAACAATTTCCATTTAGCGGGCGTTTTTATATGAAAATGACTCAGCTGGTCAGTGAGTAGTTTTCTCGCCAATAAGTGCCCGTACACGAGAACTACGCATACATAGAGGCTGAGTTTGAAATCTTTAAGTTGTATTTGGGCGGGAAATATTCTCTTAAAATTTCAGCTTTCCAGCTTTTCTAGTTCTTGGGTTAGCCATTTTCCCGCCAAAAAATTTCACGGAGCCGTACATGAGAACCATGCACGACTGGGGGCTGAATTTGATAGGTTTTTGTTGTACTTATGCTTGGAACATTCCTTGAAAATTTCAGCCTCCAGCTTTTCTG